AAGGAAACACCTGGATGAGGTCACTGATGGTCACTCCAAGGTAAGCCTGGCTCCATTTCTCATTGCCATGAGAAGTGAAGTCCTAACGGGTGGAGATTGGGGAGGAGAGGAGGGCAGGGCAGGGGAGAAGAAGAGAGGGAAAAGAGAGGAGGGGAGGGGGGAGAAGGGGAAGGAGGGGAGGGGAGAGAAGAAAAGAGAAGGGGAGGGGGGAAGGGATGGAATGGGAGAAGGGGAGGGCAGGGGAGAAGTGAGAACAGGAGAGAAGAGATCGTATTTAAGGTGGAGGTACAGGTAGTCCCACAACTGAGCCCAAAATTTCTGTTGTTAAGTGAGACATTTGTTAAGTGAGTTTGGCCCCATTTGACAACTTTTCCTGCCCCAGTTGTCAAGTGAATCCCTGCAGTTCATAAATTAGTTACACGGTTGTAAAGTTGTAAAGATGCCCAGGGGAATCACAGGAGCTGGGACACGGCAGCCGTCATAAATACGAGCCGGTCGCCAAGCATCCAAAGGCAAATCACGCGACCATGGTGAACGCTGCACGTCATAAGTGTGAAAAACGGATAAGTCAGTTTCAGTGCCATTGTAACTTTGAACAGTCACTAAATGAACTGTTGTAAGTCGAGGACAACCTGTATCTGCACCAACAATGAAAACAACTAGTCCTCAACTTACGACCACAATTGAGCCCAACATTTCTGCTGCTAAGCAAGACAATTGTTAAGAGAGCTTTGCCCCAATTTACGACCTTTATTGCCACATCTGTTAAGCGGATCATTGCAGTTATTGTCAGTAACATGGTTGTGGAGTGAACCTGGCTTCCCCTGGACTTCGCTTGTAAGGCCGCAAAAGCTGATTGCAGGTAGTCCTCAACTTACAACAGCTCATTGAGTGCCTGTCCAAAATTACAACGGCCCTGTACAAAGAGAGTGATGACCATTTTTCACACTTACGACCTTTGCAGCATCCTCCAGTCACGTGATCAAAATTCAGTCACTCGGCAACTGACTCACATTTATGACGGTTGCGGTGTCCCAGAGTCACGTGATCCTCTTTTGCGACCTACTGACAAGCAAAGTCCATGGGGAAGCCAGATTCGCTTAACAACCGTGTCGCTAACACAACAGCCGCGGTGATTCACTTAACAACGGTGGCAAGAAAAATTGTGAAACAAGTCAAAATTCACTGAACCAATGTTGCACTTAGCAATAAAAACTTTGGCCTCTATTCATTGGTTAGAGAACAGGAGTAACAAATATATTTGCAGAAATATAAAATTTGCAGAATTCCGTGAGTTCAGGCCTTGTTTTCCTAGAGATAATTTTCTGGGCTCCTAGCCAAGGGGTTGCTTATCTCCCTCCTTAGTCATGGCAGACAGCCAAGCCGGCATCAGTATAAATTAGAGGCTTGAGACAGAGCAATACCTAAGGCAAAACTCATGTAACAAATGTCTCACCTATCAACAGATATTTTGGACTTAATTGTGGTCGTAACTCAAGGGCCACCTGTACTTTTGAGGTATAAAAAGATAAAAAAAGGAAGTTAACTTCCCAATGGGCTGGGACAGGTTGCAGGAGACTTTTCAGATTCCAAGAAAAAGGATGGTGGGTTGCTGTCAGACCTCCCCCAGTCTAATCTCCTAGAGAAATAAAAATTTTAACTCCAGTTGTTGNTATCTACTTCATAGCTGCCACGGCAGTGAGCGAGGTGTCCAACAGCAGCTCGAAGGAGACCAGCTCACCCGGATCCCCCCAGACGCCTTCCGTCCAAGAAAATCTCATTTTCTCCCCTTCTGCAACAGAAGGTAAGGAAACTGGGCTGACGGCCATTGATTGGCTGATTGCTAAAGCGTCGTTCCTTTCCGAAATCCGTTCCAAATATTGGGCTTTCTGTTTTACCCCATCCTAGAGGGACGTGGTGGTCCAGTGGCTAAGACACTGAGCTTGTCGATCAGAAAGGGCGGCAGTTTGGCAGTTCGAATCCCTAGCACCACGTAACGGAGTGAGCTCCCATTCCTTGTTCCAGCTTCTGTCAACCTAGCAGTTCGAAAGCACATCAAAAATGCAAGTAGAAAAATAGGAACCACCTTTTGTGGGAAGGTAACAGCGTTCCGTGCACCTTTGGCATTGCGTCATGCCAGCCACGTGACCACAGAGACATCTTCGGACAGCACTGGCTCTCCGGCTTTGAAAAGGAGATGAGCACCACCCCCTAGAGTTGGGAACAACTAGCACATATGTGTGAGAGGAGCTAAATGCTGAAGGCGCACGGAACGCTGTTCCCTTCCCACCAAAGGTTGTCCCTATTTTTCTACTTGCATTTTTGATGTGCTTTCAAACTGCTACGTTGGCAGAAGCTGGGACAAGTCACAGGAGCTCACTCCGTTACGTGGTGCTAGGGATTCGAACTGCCAAACTGCCGCCCTTTCTGATCGACAAGCTCAGCGTCTTAGCCACTGAGCCACCGCATCTCCTATCCTTATCTTTAGTTACTCTTATTGTTGGGGGTCACGAAACAAGCAGTTGTAAGTCAAGAATTACCTGGAACGTTTGGTTGACCAATCAGCTCTTTGGCCAACTGTCTTGAACCACGTTGGGTGGCATCAACCCTCTTCCCTTCCTCCACTCAGGTGAAGCTCTGTGCAGGAATATCTACAAAATCCCCCTCAGCAATCTGGTTGGCCGGAGCATCGAGCGCCCGCTCAAGTCCCCCATGGTGCCCAAAGTCATCACCACCCCGACTTCATCTGGCGTGTCCTCGATTCTGGTGGCCCCTTCCCTCTCCTTGTCACGGATAGAGATCAAAGAGATTGCCAGCAGAACTCGTAAAGAATTACTCGGTAAGGACTGCGAGAACCCGGGCTTTTCCGAATCATCCACCGAACTGGACTTTTGAGACCAACTTCGAGCCTGGGCCTCTGCAAAAAAAAAGTTCTTAGGTTGCATTATAAAAATGAATCGGATCGATCAGAATAGAGCTGGAAGGGGACCTTGGAGGTCTTCTAGTCCAACCGCCTCCTCAAGCAGGAGATCCTATACAATTTGAACAGATGCTCTTTCCCGGTTTCTCCAGGTCTCTTAAATGCTCCTCCTTCAAAGTCTGAAGGTGGCCCCAAGCAGAAGAAGCTTCCATCAAAACAATCAGATCCTCCCAAACAGGGAACTCTACGCTCCTCCAGCAGCGACAGGTAAACAGCGACTGACAGGAGAGAGAGTTGGGGTTGAGGCTATAAGCCTGCACTCTTAGCTTGGAAGACGCATTTATCTCAAGGCGACTATTCCGATTTGATGTTTCTGTGATGGCTAAAACCTTTTTAAGATCAATAGAATAGTGTAGAGTAGAGTGGAGTGGAGTGGAGTAGAATAGAATATGAATTTAGAATAGAGTAGAGTATACGTTTAGAATAGAGTAGAATAGAATATGAATTCAGAATAGAATAGAATATGAATTTAGAATAGAGTAGAATATGAATTTAGAATAGAATAGAATATGAATTTAGAATAGAATAGAATATGAATTTAGAATAGAATAGAGTAGAATATGAATTTAAAATAGAAATAGAATATGAA